ATGTCTATATCTCACTTCAATGAGTTTCATATTACATACACAAAAAGCTATGTATGTTGTAGAAAAATGCTTATAATATTTACAGGAAAAAAATCATTTTATACATTCCATGTTAGTATATATGCAATTATATTAAAATGTCTCAACATGCAAAAGGCCTAGAAATAATTAGATTAAAATGATGGAGTTCTTTAAAGATATCAGAATTCTTGGTAATTTTTCAAAGCTTTCAAGAAAGTCTTTCCCACCTTTTATTACACTGAGAAGAAAAAATATCAGTAAAAATATAACAAACCTCTCATACATCATTGGCCATAAGCCAGAAGTGATTCTTTAAATTGGATTCAGCCAATGCTGAGTTTATAATCCTAGAAAATGTTTGACTCTCTTTCTCCATCCAACAGATATGATTTAAAATAACAGTTTCAGCAACTCTTCTCATCACGCCTCTTCAAATTCTCTCAAACTTGATCCAGGGAGACCTCCTCTGGAGATGAGAGAGAAGTTCAGTTTGGAGTTCAAACCTTAAGCAGTGTCTAAATGACTCCAATAAAGAAAAACTCTCTCTTAAAATATCTTAGTTAGCGTCTCTTTGCATCTAGCTTATGCCAGCCAAGGTAGAGGCAACACAATCAGCTACACTTTATGAAATGATGGGAAAGAAATTCTCAACAGAATCATCAAAAAATGGAGAGCTAACTACTTGGGTCAAATTCTTTTGGCCCAACATATCTTGCTTGAAAATAAAGACTGTTCAGGAAAAGATCTGTTTGAAAATGAATTTCCACTTCAGTAAAGTCTTAACAAAAATAACGATCATTAATAATCTTTGGAAAACCAAGCTCTTGTATTTATAAATATAAGATATTACCATATTTCCCAATTTAACAATTTATCCTAGCTGTTCTTTTTTTTTTTTTTTTTTTTTTTTTTTGAGATGGAGTCTCACACTGTCGCCCGGGCTGGAATGCAATGGTGTGATCTAGGCTCACTGCAACCTCCACCTCCCGGGTTCGAGCAATTTTCCTCCTAGCAGTCCTTCAATGACTCTGTAATACCAGCACTTTGGGTGGCTGAGGTGGAAGGATTGCTGTAGGTCAGGAGTTTGAGACCAGCCTGGGGAACACAGCAAGATGCCATCTCTTTAAAAAAAATTTTTTTTAATTAACTGGGCATGCTTGCATGTGCCTGTGGTCCCAGCTATTCAGGAGGCTGAGGTAGGAGAGTTGCTGGAGCTCAGGAGGTTGAGGCTGCAGTGAGCTATGATTGCAGCACTGCACTCCAGCCTGGGTGACAGGGCAAGCCTTTGTCTCAAAAAAAAAAAAAAAAAAAAAGGAAGAAAGGGCCTTGTTAGGTTAGCTCAAGAGCTTGGTGTGAACAGGGGCTCAGTGACTGGAGGACCCACCTCCTGCCCCGGGAGAAGTGAGGAGGCCAATATAGCTGAAGTTGAGGGATGAGATTGGAAGTTCTACAGAGGTTCCAAGGCATCCCCAGGTAGGTCTTGAAATCTAGCCCAGAACTGGCTGTCATTTTCTAGCAACAAGAAACCCTAGGCAGGGAAACTAGTTACAATATTGCATCAACCAAGATCTCAAGTAATAAGTCCCAAGCCCAAATGGTAGAAGTGAGAATGAAGAAAAAGGAACTAGAAACTTTATGAAAAAGAAAATATATATATAACGAAAGAATTTGGCCTTGGCCCTATATCTAGCCAATTATTTAGGGAGAAACTTCAAGTACTTTGGGGAAGGGAACAAGATGAGTTCTACAGAAACACACATGGGCATATAAGTAATTAACGAGGGGTTCTGGCCCACTTGTGTGTGGTCTGGAAGGTTGTATAAAACACCTCCACTAGCCTGCTAGCCATGTTATTTCTAGAAGTTGACTTTTCATTTTTTTATTTTTTGTTTTTATTTTTTTGAGACAGAGTCTCACTCCGTCACCCAGGCTGGAATGCAGTGGCATGATCTTGGCTCACTGCAACCTCCGCCTACTGGCTTGAAGCAATTCTCGTGACTCAGCTTCCTGAGTGGCTGGGATTACAGGCGTGTGCTACCTACCACTTTCAACTAATTTTTTGGTATTTTTAGTAGAGATGGGGTTTCACCATGTTGGCCAGGCTGGTCTCGAACTCCTGACCTCAGGTGATCCGCCTGCCTTGCCTCCCAAAGTGCTGGGATTACAGGTGTGAGCCTCTGTTCCTGGCCCCTTTCTTCATTTTAATATTGTTGTAGTGGTACCCAGAGTTATCATTGCTTTCAATGCAAACGGCAAGGATGTGTTTCAAACATTAGATAGGAGTCACTCACGTGTCATTATCCTACCATATCTTTTTATTTTGTTTTGAGATGGAGTTTTGCTCTTACTGCCCAGGCTGGAGTGCAATGGCGCAATCTCAGCTCACTGTAACCTCCACCTCCTGGGTTCAAGTGATTCTCCTACCTCAGCCTCCCGAGTAGCTGGGATTATATGCACCTGCCACCACACCGGGCTGATTTTTGTATTTTTAGTAGAGACAGGGTTTTGTCATGTTGGCCAGGCTGGTCTCGAAGTCCTGACGTCAGGTGATGTACCTGCCTCAGCCTCCCAAAGTGCTGGGATTACAGGTGTGAGTCACCGCGTCTGGTCCCTACCATATTTTTTTTAATGCAACATAAAAAAACTTACAGAGCATGTAATTTAGGGGATGAGTATTGTATTTCCAAAAAAAGAAAAAAAGCTACACATAAATTTAATTTAAATAACAAAGTCCTCCAGTACCTTCAGTCTGAAGAGTTTACAAATAGAGACATAATTACTGGAGATTTTTCTATCATACCACCACACTTCACACACACAAACCAGAAGATACGTTTACAGGCTATTTGTCATACAACTAGTCTTCTTTGACTTCAATACAGGTCACGTGATTAATAATCTTCAATTCCTTCATGAAATTTTTTGTAGGACTCCAACCATGTGCTACCATGCAACTTGAGTATTCCAAACAACTTTATCAAAACTCTTAGAAGAAAAAGAAAATAGTCAGACATAGGAGAGAAAAGTTTTATTTGTGACCTCGTAATAAACATCTTTTAACCCCCTATAGCCGAAAGTTTAGATATGATTTTATGTTTGAAGCATGGCAAAGCAAGGAAGGAAGGAAGGGTTTGTAAGGTACTAACTGAGGTCTTACAGAAGTCTGGCTCCAAAACCCATACTGTCCACCATCATGCTATACTGTCCGACCACCATTCTGGGAATCTCAAAAATTCTAAGGAGTTCACAAACTTCTCAACACAGAATATATTTCATTCGCTTTCTTGTAAAAATTAAATTTTGTGTGTGTGTGTGTGTGTATTTTTATTATACCACCACACTTCACATACACACACCAGAAGATACATTTATTTACAGGCTATTGATCATATAACTCTTCCTTTGACTTCAATACTGGTCACATTATTAATAATCATCAATTCCTTTATGAAATTTCATATCTATATTAATGAAAATAATAATCATTAATAACCTTGGAAAACCAAGCTCATGTATTTATAAATATAAGATATAACCATATTTCCTAATTTAACAATTCATCTTAGCAGCCTTTTATTGCTGATATTGACTCTGTAATCCCAGCACTTTGGGAGGCCAAAGTGGGAGGATTGCCTGAGGCCAGAAGTTTGAGACAAGCCTGGGCAAGATAACAAGATCCCATCTATAAAACAACAAAAAATTTTTTTTGAGATAGAGCCTCACTCTATTGCCCAGGCTGAAGTATACTGGCACGTGATCTCAGCTCACTGCAATCTCTGCCTCCCAGGTTCAAGTGATTCTCTTGCCTCAGTTTCCCGAGTAGCTGGGATTACAGGTGCCCGCCACCATGCCTGGCTAATTTTTGTATTTTTAGTAGAGACGGGGTTTCACCACGTTGGTCAGGCTGGTCTCGAATTCCTGACCTCAAGTGATCTACCTGCCTCAGCCTCCCAAAGTGCTGGGATTACAGGCGTGGACCTCTGTGCCCGGCCCCCACAAAATATTTTTTAATTAGCTGAACATGGTAGCATGTTTATTTCTTCTCCCCCTCCTTTTATTGGGGTGACACGTGATATATAAGAAATAAGCAATCACAATATGTTTGTGTTCCGTTTCACACATTCAACAATAATTTACTCAGCCTCTAGGTGCCACATATCATACCAGGCTCCAGGAATCTGATGGTGACAACAACTGACTATCTGTGTTTCATGGCACTTACCACCTAGTAAGAGATGTAGTCAAAAGGAGATCTAATCAAAAGATCCTAGTAATCAAAATATCTCATTAATAAATGGGAAATCCCAACCAGCCAGTACTGTGAAGGAAAGGTGTCTACTCTGACACTTTGGAAGTATAAAAGAATGGGATTCACTGGGGTAGGCACTGGCGGAATCAAGTGTAGTTAAAAAGAAGGATTCGGAAACAAACAGTTATGAGTGAGTAAAATCAGAGTGCTTTAATTAATAGAACTGTATAATTCCCTACAGCAGAACTGTAATAGTAATAAAAGCTATCAAGATAAAAACTTACCCAACTATAAAATGTAGTCAGTCAACTAATACATTCACGTCATTTCGAAGAGCTGGCCCAGTGGCTTCTTCGCGTGATGTGGGAACACCATCATTTAAGCAGAAATTAAAATTTACACCAAGCCACAGTGTTCTGCGGCCTCTGGGCACATTTACGGAAAACATAGTGTGGTTTTGGGTGGTATTTTGGCATTTTTAATTTCCTGAACTAATATTTCTTATTTAAAAATTTAAGTTTTGAGTAGGAAGCATTCCTGGTATTCCTTTTGCTACTCCATAAAGTAAAGCACTTAATCTCTAATAGCACCACTTGAATCATTGCTATAACCCCCTTGCCTCTGTCTCATCCTCACACTCAGCCTGTCCCCTGCCCACCACCCTTGGTCCTTGCCCAGTAGGCAGGACCTACTCAGATGTAGAGTGTGGGGAGTGGGGGTAGGTACTTACTTTCTTTGCTCAAGCAGGGCGATTTCCTTTTTGACCTCATGGTATTCTTCTGCTATTTGGCAGTGCTGTTTGAACACCTCCATGGATTCCGCGGAGTCATGACAAGGTGGCAGGGGCTTCACAAACAACAAGAAGAAATTAGTCCATTTCTTTGCATCAGGATAAATTACCAACCATTTTGCTCTGCTGATGTTCTTTAAAGGAAGGTTTTCTCTTTCTTTCTTTCTTTTTTTTTTTTAACATGAGAACAGCATTGTTAGTCACCATTCAACAGAGTTCAGCTGATTCTATTTGACTGAAAATACAGAGGTGGACAGATAGTCTCCACATTCGTCTTCCAGTGTCATTCATGGACATCTCTGGCCTAAGCCAGAGCCCTGAAATCCATTACATGTCAGTTACCTGCCACGTGATGGAGTAAAAATAAGTCTCTCAAGGATTCTACAGTACTCCCTGGAAATCTTAGACTCTGCTTTAGAGAAGAGCAGTGGTGGGGAAACAGTTCAGTTGTCTGTTCAATTATCCCTTGCTTTCTGTTCCTGTAGTCAGGAGGTATAATCTCATCTTGCAGAGTAGAGAAGAAAAGCTCTCTTCTGAGAAATGCATCTGACCTAAAGAAAGATGCTGAGCCAGAAATAATGCTTGCAAGGATTAACAAACCTGTAGGAAAGGCCAGATCTCCCTCCCCCTAAAAAAAAAACCATCCGTGTAAGATTCATGCCTCTCTTTTTCTCCCATCCATGAAAGAAACAAAGGCCAGCGTGGCAAACCTTTCTGACTGCAACATGGTGAAAACCCTACTTCTAGGAATTATTTTTAAAGAATGAGTTTCCCCCAAGTGTATTATTCTAATTTCTTGTTTAGCAATGCGTGATTAAAAGTACTACTTTTAGGCCAGGTATATTGCTTGAGGCCAGGTATTCAAGACCAGCCTGGCCAACATGATGAAAACCGATCTCTACTAAAAATACAAAAATTAGCCAGGCATGGCGGCATGCACCTGTAGTCCCAGCTACTTGGAGGACTGAGGCAGGAGAATTGCTTGAACCCAGGAGGTGGAGGTTGCAGTAAGCCGAGATCATGCCACTGCATCCAGCCTGGGTGACAGAGTGAGACTCCATCCCAAAAGGAAAAAAAAAAAAGTACTACTTTTAGGAATACTAGTTAAGAGTTTTTTTAAATCACCCTTTTCAATTATATGTAGAAAAAAATGTATATAAAATCTGAGAAATATCAGTTTATTGTGAAATAGGTTCTTCAATCGTATCCTTTTTTCAAAATGGTGTGTATATATATATATATATATATGTAGTATCTGACAAGGTCATATTGTCACTAATTTTATATAAGGAAATTGAGAACTAATGAAGTTTTTACTATTTGTTCCTCTCATTATATTCTTCAAGGACACAGATTTCTGTGGGTGTCATATTTAGTGATCCTTCCCACGATATAATAGAAATTCAATAAACCTTACTGTCTGATTGATAGATAAGATGACCTTCCCTATTTATCATGAGGCCTCTGAGTAGAGATGTTTAAAGGAAATAAAATTCTAAATAGATTTTGATCAAATTTACCATCACGTGGAACATCTGTTACATCCTAGTTCATGGAAAATCTAATAGTAATCATATTAGGTAGCATCTTTCTCTACTGCCCATGAACACATTCACAGGATAAACTCAGCCTGTTGGAACCATTATCCATTTCTATATGGGATTAAATTGGAAAATAATGCACAGTAGTACTACAGCATAACTCTCCCCATGAGATAAAGCTGTTGCCAAAGGAATTCAGAACTCCTGGCTCCTCCAGTCTGTGCCCCAGAAATCGCTACCCACTCATCAATTTTCACCTGTTACACTGGCAACTTACCAGGTATAACAGTAAGGGGAATGAAAGCAATTTATTCTGGGCACCATAGCCAAGCTGTTAAATCATCTGTGCCCTGTTAAAGGATTTGTCTCCTGGAAGGTCCTAAGACTACACATCAGATCCTGTCCTTACAAACACCACACGGGGCTATACTCAGTTGAAACAAGAGCTCAGTACATGTAGGTACCTGAACCATGAATTCAGTACAGTTAACTATGTGACAGCCAAAAAGTTCTAGAACTCTGCATGAAGGATTCACAGCTTTAAGAGAACATAGAGAATAGCCATGTAAAGGGAGGTATGTCTTTTGCTGCTATAATTTAAAAGGAAAACTGAAAAGTACATTAATAACTTTCTTAAGAAGACAGAGGCCTTCCCTTCCTCACCCCCAGCTTGCCACCTGCAATGCTTTTCACTAAGTGGGAAATGTTGTCATTTGTTCTTTTTTTTATTATTGGCACCTCTTAATTGTAGGAAATTCAAAGATGTTATTATCTGTAGGTAGCGTGATCATGCCACTAACGGTATGTAATGATACATATTTCAAGATACTCACATGTGCTTTCAGCAGCACAATTATGCTATCTATACATAATAATATTTTCAAGACTTCCCATCATAAAGAAGGGACGATCAAAAAAGAATAAGCCTAAAATACTTTGTATCCAGTTTTCAGAGAGTACAAAGATTCCAGGGTTCATTTCAGCCTCTGGATCCTGAAAACTAAGCCTTCAACTTGACATATAACTCAGCAACACTTGAAATGTTCCCAGTTTGTATGAAAACATTAAAGAGTAATATCGATTTCTCTTTTTTAAGCAAAGAGGAAGGTTATATTGCATAACTCACCAAAACATTGTAAAATTCTCTCATTAGTTGCCAGAGGAAGAGGGAAATAAGGAATTGTTGTTTAATGGGAACAGACTTTCTATTTTGCAAGATGAAAAAGTTCTGGAGATTGGTGGCACAACAGTGTGAATATACTCAACACTACCAAACTGTACACTTAGAAACGGTTAAGATGGTAAATTTTATCATATGCATTTTTACCCACAATAAGAAAAAAATTAATGCAAAAAATTATTTCATTAAACCTTTCTGCTGTCTCTAGCCCATCATCTTCTAAGCAGTGCTGCCAGGGTTACCTAGGATAATCTGACTCCACTTGTACTCAATCTTTCTCACTTTCCCAAATTTCTCCGCAGAGAACTTCAAATTTCTCACCCCTTTATAATCTCAAGCCATTCACTGGTAACCCCAAACATGTTTTTTGCTGCTGGGATATTGGATATTCCAGCAGCCAAATAATAATGGATATTATTGCCATTGTTTGGCAAATCAAAGTGCTCTCAGGTCAACAGAATCCACTGTTCTTAGAAGGCAGTTGACATCATTAGCCATTTACCCCAGCCCAGGAAACTGACCAAAGAATTTGCTTAAATATATATGGTTCTCGTCCCACCAGGCTAGTGAATACAAGTATCAAGATAGTCAGGTTTTATACTTAATATAAAAAGTGGCACTGTAGAATAATGTGATGTGTTGTTCTGTGGGGGACAGAGTAACTCTCATTGCTTTGTGATATAATGTGTGTATGTGTGTTGTATCATCAGGTCCTGACTGAGGGCAATCCTCTCTTACCTTACCTTTTGAGAGGTAATCCCTCAAAATAAGAGACAATATATGGTCAACAGTATTAATCAAACATAAACTTCTGCCTGAGGAAATCGATTCCTAGAATTCAAGAACCAGGTTTTTAGTTTAAAAATGGAGGACCAGTACGCTTAAGTAACATGACATGTAAAACACTGGCACTCATGAATTAATTGACTGTACGTGGGTTTATGTAACACATGCTCAAATTAAAAACTGAAAAATAACTTAAAAGAATACCTGTGGGTAACTAGATGAAAAAACATCTATTAACTTCTTGGAATAAAAGTGACACTATTTCAGTTCTCATTGCTTGATTTTGACTGTTCTTTTCAGAGAGATTTTCATAGCTATAAGCCCATGCTGGGAACGGATGTACGATAAATAAACTCTTAATGTTGTTAAATAATTTTTTTTCAGATCTGGAGGAAAAAAATTCCCTTGTTATTCTCTCCATAATGATGCTACATCCTCCCATTTTGGATACACTTAGCCCACCTTCCTGCTTAAAGAATGAAATATTGCACTTCAAAGAAAAGGAATCCAAAAATAGTTCAGTTGACAAGTTGAAGAAAAAGATACTACTGATGTACTAGAGCACAAATTCTGTGTGGTCACAGCAGCAGCTTTTCAGATGCACTCACTGCCATGGTATCTGGTTTACTAAACACCACAGCCAGTTCTAAGGAGGTGAAATTAAGACATTCTCCTAACAGTGCCTCAAGCCAACTTTGAAACACACGTTTCCAAGACACAGATTGGGGCTAGGGTGAGGTCACAGCCCAGAAGGAGATACTTCCTCCTCACCCCCTTTTCCTCCATCTCCGCCTCCTCCCGCTGCCGCCTGAGGACGGAACTCGCAAGGGCTTAATATTTCATGGCAGTGCAGTGTGAAGGAGCTGCTACTATCTCTGGTATCCGCCCCAATTATCAGGACCGATTTAACAAGATGAAGTAAGAGAGAAACCGCAGGGTCCCGTTCCAAGAATGCCGGCTTGAGCCACAAGGTGCTATTCTGCTCTCTGCCTGAGCCGCGGGTTCACAGCAAGCTTCTCCCGAAGTGGATTCCACTCCCTGGAACAGGCCCCATGGGGAAGGACGCAGCCAAGCCACCCTGGGCTAGGAGCAAAGCCGGCTCAGGCGTTTCCGTTTTCTACTTGGCTTCTGCGAATGCTACTGGCCCCATCCTCTTCAAAAATGTAAGAATTTAATTTTCCTATCCCAGCTTCCCACACAGGAGACATATTTAGGAAGCTAAACATTCTACACTCACTGAACAGTCTTTGTATTTATTCCTTGATTCTCAGGGTTACCTACTTTGGGGAAAGATGGGGGTGTCTGATTTAAATTTACATTACATTGTAATGTCTTACAATTAACAAGCATCGTTTGTTAAAACTGAGAGGAAAAACACAGTCCATGCTGATTTCGATATTTAAGAACTCTATTATCTTAGAACTTTAAATATTTTAAGAACTGACATTTATATAGTATCTACATTACAGTACAAGTTAAGCACTATCAATTATACTACAGAACTTACATATCATGTTACATTGGAGTAAAGAATATTTACATCATTTCT